GCCGTACCCCGGACATGATGTGCGCAGCTGCTGGTAGCAGCGAACTTGACGCTGAGGTGGGTGTACCTCTCGTCGCTGCGTGTGTGCCGCATCGACACGGGAATCGCAGCTGTGCTCGATGCGGTCCGCCGCCCGAGAACGCCACGCCGGACGCCAAGGCCGCCCCCGAGCTCAAAGACGCCCCCGATTTCTTACGGAAACTGTACAAGTGGGTCGTTTTCTCTCTTTGTCTGCCGATTCTGACCGGGTTCAGCATCCTGGAGGACCCCGCGCTGGACGACATCATCTCGTGGGGCCCGCAAGGCGACTCCCTGCACGTAAAGGTGCGTGTCGCGCTCGCAGCACCGGAAACACACCCTGACGCCGTTCTGTAGGACGTGGACGGGTTCACGAAATCGCTGCTCCCCCGCAACTTCAAACACTCCAATTTCGCGAGCTTTGTGCGGCAGCTGAACAAGTATGGCTTCCGCAAGGTCAGGAGCGTAGATGGATACCAGGGGGACGAACAGGTGCGTGTCTGCGGCGGTCCGCGACTGCGCGCCGCTCACGCTCTGCAGAGTTGGGTGTTTCGTCATCCAGATTTCCACGCCGGCCGCCCCGGGGCGCTGAAGAACATGAAGCGCAAGGTCTCGCGCAACTCCATACTCCGCGCTGCAGCTCCGCCGCTCGCGCCCTACGCGGCCACGTACACCCCAGTTGACTCCGAGACGATCCGTTCTCTGCCTGCGCAGCTCTCATTTCTTCACGGGCAGCTCAAATCCCGCAGTGCCGCGGAGGAAGATGTACTCTCTTACGTGCGCAATCTGGAGGGCAGCTACAAGGAGGTCCTCGGAGAGATGGTTGGCTTCCGGCGCTGCTTGGCGCAGCTGGACGGCTTCGTGCACGCCCTCCTGCCGTCCTTTCCGCCCGAGAACAGCCCCGGTGCGTGACGGTTTTGCCCTCGGTGCCGGACCGCGCATCTAACGTCCTCGCGATTTATATCAGACAGCAAGTGGGTCGCCCCGAGCGCCGAGCGCGAGGCATCGCACATTCAGGACCGCCCCGCGCACCCTGGTACCCAGCGCTTCCACGATAGCGCACGCGCGCAAGAACAAGCGGTTCTATCGCCGCAGACGGCGAGACTAGCCTCGGTAGACGTGAATGGCGAGGAGGAGGACGAGATGGTGATGCCTACGCCGACGAACCCGTCGAACTGGGACGTGGCGCGCGCCGGTGAAGACGTCCGCTCGCGGGAGCCACCGCCGCTGCGCGTGCGCGGATGGTCGCTCCTCCCTGGCTGGGCCGTGCCGCCCCGCGTGCTGCTCGTGGACGATGACGCCGTGATCCGGAAGCTCAGCAGCCGGTTTTTGCAGATATTCGGGTGCACAATCGACGTTGCCGTCGACGGCGTCGGCGCGGTCACCCAGATGAATCTCGCGAAGTACGACTTGGTGTTGATGGTGCGCTGGCGCTCGTCTGGTACCTCTGTCCGCTGTAGACTGACTGACTGGACGGCAGGATATTGTTATGCCTAAATTGGACGGCGTCTCGGCAACGGCGCTGATCCGGAAATTCGACGCGCTCACACCGATTATTTCCATGACAAGTAGCTCAAGACCGACCGAAATCATGAGCTATTATTCGTCTGGTGCGCTCTTCTTCACTGCTCGTCAGCCCCCGGTGCGCTCACACCCGCGCAGGGATGAACGACATCTTGCCGAAACCATTCACCAAGGAGGGCCTGTTCGACATGCTCGAAGTAAGCTGCGGAGACCTCTTGTTCGTCCAGATAATTGACTTTTTCTCCCCAGAAACACCTCGCGCCTTTGCTCATGATCACGCAGCAGATGCCGACCTCGATGTGTGTCCGACCCGCACCCGTGCTCGACGATGCGGGGTTTTCACCGCAATCCGACATGGGCATGTCCGCATCATCTGCTGACGACGGGGATGGTTCCATCGACGGGCTGGGGATCAGTGACGCAGGATACAACGCACTGTTTGCAAGCATCTTCACGGATGGAACAGTTGGCCCGGCACCAGACTCGGAGAAGCGAGCATTTGACCTAGACAGCGATAGCGACGATTCGGATGGGCGTGTGCGCAAGCGGGGCCGGTTCGACGTCGATGAGTAGTACATGGCCAAAAAAAAAAAAAAAAAGTCACACTGTATCGCAATCCTGTATGTAGTATCCCCTATATTTGGTATGACATGGATTTTCAACATACCTTTGTCACAAGGAATTGCTGCGCCATCTGTCAAGCGCTTCTGTGAACAATACTCGCAGGAGCAACGCTAGTCTCGGACCGACCTCATGACATCCCAATTTGGGAACCCTGTCATGAGGGTCTGCTGTAACCAGCCAAACAACTGTACATGGAGCTCTTCATTTGAGCTTTTTTTAAGGTCTTGTTCGGGCACTTCTCAGCTGTTTTTCACAAAAGTTTGGAGCAGGATGTTGAGACATGTACTACTAAAGCCCCTCAGAATATTTTCAAATTTATTTGTAGCCTTATTTCTATCTACTGAAGGTTGCAAAGTTCTGGGGTCCTAGTCGGTGGCTGTGAACACCGGTCTCTTTGGTGGCGAAAAAGCCGGGGAGTTTGAGAGCTCCATGCTCGCGGTACAGAGGGGCCGTCCCGCGCGCCTACAGGTTGTTGGGATTTGACACGTGATCGCGTCAGCCCCGGCAAGACCACGTAGGAGCGTACGTGGAGGACATGAGGTTGAAACACCTCGAGGCATGTTGCCATAGAGCTGGCCTCTATGAAACATGTATCAGTGTATTGAGACACGTCGAAACGCGTCTGGTTGAGCAACACATAGCCCTGTTATTTGTTCTAGTATTTACCTGTTTCAACATACACATTGTTCTCTGAACAGTATAAATACGGTACTGTAGTTGAGTGGAATATACCGTTTTTCCCCTCCATTTTACTACAGGTTATGGGCCCCGCCCTTAACTGATCTACGCCAACTTCACCACCTTACCCTCACACAACTTGAACCATTACTACCATGTCAACTACCACCACCGCCGAAGCTACGCCATCGTCGTTGTTCCGGATCGAACAACTCAATGAGACGAATTGGGTTCCGTGGAAGCGCCGCGTTACCGCCATATTCCGCGAGCGTGCGCTCTTGAAGATCGTCGAGGGCACCACACCGAAGCCAGTCGCTGCCGACCCGGAGAAGCCAACATCAGATGAGAAAAAGCAGAGGGAACGCTGGGAGGAGTTAGACGGGAAAGCGCAGACACAAATTGAGCTCACCTTGAGCGACTCGCAGATGGTACACATCGCGGGCGCCAAGACTGCAGCCGAGATGTGGTCGCAGCTGAAGCAGGTCAAGGAGAGGGGAGGAAAATTGGGAGTTTTGTCGCACCGACACCGTTTGTACCGTACAATTGCCGACGATGCGACGGATATCGCGGAACACGTAACGGAGTTGCACAGGATTCAAGAGGAGCTTGCGATTCTCGGCAGCTTGGTGTCAGATGAGGACTTCCTGCTGTTGATTATCAGCTCACTCCCAGAGTCTTGGGATAATTCACGTCCGCATATTTGGGCGCATCAAGCAATGCTCCAACCATCTCGTCGCACGAGTTCATCTCGCTGGTCTTGGAGGAGAACCGTCGCAGGCTAGAGAAAAATGGGGATGGAAGCGCTGCGATGTATGGACGAACGAAGCAAGGGGACGAAAGAGGAGGAAGAAAGGATAGAGTGGAGTGTTACAATTGCCACAAGAACGGACACATCGCCGCCGATTGCTGGTCAAAAGGCGGAGGGAAGGAAGGAAAGGGCCCGAAAAAGGCAAAGAGGAAGGAGAGGGCAAACAAGGCAGAGGACGTAGGAAACGACTTTGTTGAAACTGCGTACGCTGCCAAACTAAATTCGTCTTCCCTCTACTCGTGGCTCGCCGATTCCGGAACCACTTCCCACATATGCAACGACCGCAGCGTGTTCATCGAGCTGCGGGCGGCAGATGTACCCGTTGAGGGCGTTGGAGACGCACCACTGCAGGCTCTGGGACGCGGAACCGTTCTGTTAGACTGTGAAGTCAATGGGAAGGTCATTACACACAGATTACTCAACGTCCTATTTGCGCCAACTTGCGCGCACAATTTACTGTCAATTAGCCGACTTGACGATGCTGGTTTGGAAGCCAAGTTTAGTCACGGCAAGGTGGAATTTGTGCGACGCACTGATGGTCGAGTAATGGCTACGGGGAGCAAGACTGAACATCTGTACCCGCTAGCAGCGCGAGCCCGGAAGCAAGTGCAAACAGAGGCGCGTGAGGGCGCGCACGCCGCCGCGGAGGTGAGCAACAAGACGTGGGATGCCTGGCACCGCCGGATGGGCCATCTGGCTAAGAGTGGATTAGAGAAGCTCGTGAGGGAGCACCTCGTTGAAGGACTCACCGTGGATGAGGATTCGCCACCACTCAGCCAGTGTGAGGCTTGCGTCAAAGCAAAGATGACAACGAAGCCATATCCGCAGGAGGCGAAAGACCGACGTGAGGACCCAGGGGAGCTTACGCATAGCGACATCTGGGGGCCCGCCCGAGTTGAATCTTTGAAAAAATCGAAGTACGCCATCCTGTTTAGCGACGATGCAACGCGGCATTGTAGACCTGATTTTTTGAAGAGCCGGGATCAGGCCTTCGAAAAAATCAAGGAATATATTGCATGGGTTGAACGTCAATTCGGATACACACCTAAAGTCCTCCGAGTGGACAATGCCAAGGAGCTCATGAGTGGGGCTGTGAAAGCATGGTTGAAGAGCCGTGGGATCACGCTCCAGAACCCCGCACCATATGCGCACACGTTGTGAGCCATCACATTGTGATAACTCCCGACATGACCTCAAAACACCGAACTCCGAGAACAACGCCTTAAGCCTTCGACTAAAAATGATACCCGGACCCAACTTAGGTGCACGGGATGCGTTACCATTACGCCAACAGGCCATTCGAGGATCGAACTCAAGACTACAAAGGACCGACTCCGAGTAAAAAGTTATGGCTTGACGGAGAATCGAACTCCGAACCCTCCATCAGCCGATATGAAAACGTCAGGTACATGGAGCGCGTTACCATTACGCCACCAAGCCATGACCGGACTATCCAAAAAGATGTCAATTACCACTGCGCTACCAAGCCACGAAGGACCATGACAAAAATCATATCCAGACCCAACATGGCTTGACGGAGAATCGAACTCCAAACCTTCCATCGACCAATATAACGGAGCGCGTTACCATTATGCCACCAAGCCATGACCGGACTACCAAAAATGACAATTACCACTACGCTACCAAGCCACAAAGGACCATGACAAAAATCATATCCAGACCCAAGCATGGCTCGATGGAGAATTGAACTCCGGACTCTCCGTCAATCGATATAAAAATGTGCATATTTACGGAGTGCGTTACCGTTACGCCATCAAGCCGTAGGAGTTGAACGACCAGCCAAGACAATCACCGTAATAAGAAGGGTTTCCGTCGGAATGGCTCGACGGAGAATCGAACTCCGGACTTTCCGTCAATCAATATAAAAATCCATTAGATCAGAGTGCGATACCAGTACGCCACCGAGCCGTAGGAATCGAAAGGCCAGCCAAAACTATCGTCATGAAAAAGAAGGGTTTTCTTCATAATGGCTCAGCGGAGAATCGAACTCCGAACTCTCCGTAAAGCATACTGCGAACTTCATAGGAATACGGAGTGCGATACCATTATGCCACTGAACCGTTCAAAACCGTGCCCTATCTTCTGGACAAAAAGAATGGGCCCGTCAGAGAATCAAACTCCGGTCCCTCCATTATTTCAGTTTCCCGCCAGTTACGCGAACAGAGTGCGTTACCGCTACGCCACCGGACCATGTGTGCGAACGACACGAAGGTCTAGTAAGAGGCGCACAAAAAGAAATGGAAAAGAGGGATGGCTCGACGGAGGATTGAACTCCGGACTTCCTGCAAAAGATGCGCTTGTGCAAGAACCATGGCAGGATGCGTTACAGTTACGCCATCGAGTTGTGAATACCAAGTGGCCCAAAAGGATGGAATGAGAACTCCGGGTGATCAAAAAGGTGGGTAACGTAGGGAAAAGGCCCGACGGAGGATCGAACTCCGGACTCTCCGTAAGTCAAACACTGGGGTGAAAGGATACGGAGTGCGTTTTTCCACTACACTATCGAGCCGTCGCAGGCGGAAACGGATAGGAAGGGAGCTAGGACCGGACATGGAGTGTCCGAGGCTAGGGCCAACAAGTCCGGGTTGCGGAATCGGTACTGGACTGAAGACGGTGCAGGTAAGGGTTCACGGAGCTCTAGAATGAGTCATAAACGAACTCCGGGGCGGAGGAGCGTGCGAGCGAGCAGGTATGGGACACAAAGGAACAACTCCGGCACAGCCTTGGGCTGGGGTATAAATACTACAGCTAGTCTACCAGAATATTATCTCAGTTTCGGCCCACATCCTCACCTTCTAAGCCTTAGCCAGCTTAGGAGTAGCTAAATACCTGCCCCGAACATCACCTAGAGGTCACCCGGAGTCGAGTTACACAGTAAAGCGACCCTGGTACTCCCCCGCCGCCGTCAGACAGCGAACGGAGTTTATATTTCGGCATAAAAAGTTCAGCGCCGGAGAAATCGAACCATTTATTCCTCCCCTACGCAAGTAGGGCAGTGAAATCTCTCAAACAGCACAGTGAGGTCTTCGGAGTTCGTGTGTAGCTGCTAGCTAAGGAAGTTGGCGGTGCAGAGCCCGCAGGAAGTCGCCTTCAGCAAGCGAACGGGTGAGAAGTAGAGAGAGGAAACTCCGTAGAGGCACAAAGAGGGGTAAAGGGAGGAGGAATTGCCGGAACGTTATCGCGAACACATAAATCCCCCGGTCTTACGATCTACGACTCAAAGATACTTCGGACGACTGTGGTTCATGGTCCAGGAAGCCCCCAAATCCATATCTCACCTCGGACTTGACGAATTGGACCCCGCATCGCCCTCCGAAGGTCCTCCCCAAGGAAGTGTGGAACAGATTCAATCTCCGTTAACCTGAGAAGGCTAACTAGGCATCGGAGTTCGCTCGGACCACCCTAGCTAGTAGGATTTTGAACTAACTGTTCGAATCCTTGTACGGATATCCCCACCAATAATATTTTAACCTCCCTACGTACTTGTCTACCGCGACAGAACAAATTCCCCCTAGAGGACGAGCATTTAAACATAGCCCGGATCTCCCCACCATCTGGCAGTTTAAAGCACCGCAGTCCGCATCACAGCGTCGAACGGAGTGGCCGAGAGATTTAATAGGACAATCATCGAGCTTGCCCGTGCGATGTTGATAGCGCGAAATTTACCAGCCTTTCTTTGGGAGTCAGCAGTCGAGTATGCGGTGTACATCCGAAATCGCTCACCGACACGCGCGCTACACGGAAAGACGCCGTTGGAAGCATGGACACGAAAAAAACCCAATGTATCGCACCTTCGGGAGTTCGGGTGCGAAGTATGGATCAAGCGTGAGCCTGTGCAAAAGCTGTCTAAGCTAGGCAGAGACCATGAGAAGGCGGAGAAATTTATCTTCGTGGGATTCGGGGACCATACAGATATCGTCAAATATTATGACGGCAAGAACTGCAGCATTCGCGAGTCAAGAAATATCATATGGGTAGAGCCGAGCACCCGACCCCTTGTCGATTTGCAGCTTGAGGGGGAGTTGGGAACGCCGAGCCAGAAATCTCCCGCAGAAGATCCTGCAAAACCCGATTCCGTGGAGAACCAGAAGACAGCGCCAAGTGAGGGGGAGCCAACGGCGCAGATAGGATTGCAGACGCAGGCGCAGACGAGAACGTTGCAGCAGTAGTCGCAGAACCATTCGCAGCCAACAGGCACACCTCCACTGGCACCCGCTCCATCGCAAAATCCACCAGCCCAACCGGATCAGCCAAGACGTTCATCACGCCTGACCAAAGACACTGACTACCGCAAGCTAAACAACCCAGCTGTGCGATTGCCAAGTGGTCCACGGAACCCCCACCCAACTGTCAAGGACATCTCGGACGAAGAGGCGAGGGAAAGGGCAGAGTTTGCGTTCTTAGGAGAATCCGCACTTGAAGCCGCCGGCACACCGCGCACATACAGCGAAGCACTGAAGTCGAGTGAGCAACTGGAATGGAAAGAAGCGATGAGAGAGGAGATAGAGATGATGAAAGAGAAGGGAACATACGAGCTTGTGGAACTGCCGGTGGATCGCCAAGCAATTGGGAGTGAATGGACCTTTGTTAAGAAGGTTGACGAGTTAGGCAGAGTGTCAAGACACAAGGCCAGACTCATTGCACTCGGATGCTCGCAGATCCCCGGGATAGATTTCATGGAGACGTTTGCTCCCATGGTTCGTCTTGAATCGATGCGCGCCGCACTCGCTATTGCAGCCCTAGAAGATCTGGAAATTATCCAAATGGATATTCGGGGTGCATACCTTAACGGCGAACTCAAGGAGGAAATTTATATGCGGCAGCCACCAGGTTTTGATGATGGAACCGGACGAGTTTGGAAGCTCCTGAAGACAATTTATGGGTTGAAACAATCAGGCCACGAATGGAATCGCGAGTTTGACCGCAAGCTCACCTCAATCCAGCTCACCAAGACAGCCGTCGATCACTGCGTGTATTTTTGTGAACGTGACAGCGAGCGAACTTGGGTGACTGTTTGGGTGGATGACTTGCTTATCCTGTCAACTTCGAGGCAGGAAGCTGAGAAGACGAAGGTGGAGATAGAGGGATTATTTGAGACGAAAGATCTTGGAGAGCCGCGTAAGATCATCGGCATCGAAATTGCCCGTGATCGCGATGCCGGCACAATCACTCTTTCTTAATGCCATTACATTGAGACGTTGCTGGCCAAGTACGGACTCACCGACGCCAAACCGCTCGCAACTCCAATGGACCCAAACGCTACGCTACGCAAAGTACCAGCCGACACACCGGAAGTGCCAGCAGATCTGCGCGGGCAGTACCAATCAATGATTGGCGGACTCATGTATGCCGCCATTTGTACGCGTCCAGACATCGCGTACGCCATCACGACATTGAGCCAGTATTCGTCGAACCCAGGACCAGAGCATTGGAGCGCTTGTAAACACGTCTTTCGCTATCTTTCTGGCACACGGAATTACGGTCTTGTCTACGGCAACACAAGCGACTCGGACGAGGTCGTTTCTATTGGCTACAGCGACGCGGACTACGCCGCAAACCCAGACGACCGAAAGTCGATTTCGGGATATGCATTCGTGCTCGGAGGAGCCGCGTACGCATGGAGCTCAAAGAAGCAAACAACGGTCGCTACATCTTCGACGGAGGTGGAATATAACGCACTCGCACATGCAACTCGGTTCGCAATCTGGAGCAGATACCTCTTGGATGAGATAGGTTATGCCCAGAAGGATCCTACGGTGATAAACGAGGATAATCAAGCCGCTTTGGCGCTTGCTCGGGACCCTCAGTTCCACGCACGCTCGAAGCACTTTGATGTGCAGAATCACTTCATCCGGGAGAAGATCGAGAATTGCATTATCAAACCCGTGTATTGCACAACTGAAGATCAACTCGCCGATATCTTCACTAAACCTCTGGCGAGACCCAAGCATGACAAGTTCACGCGGGCACTGGGGCTCTTGCCGGTCTGAGGGGGAGTGTTGGGATTTGACACGTGATCGCGTCAGCCCCGGCAAGACCACGTAGGAGCGTACGTGGAGGACACGAGGTTGAAACACCTCGAGGCATGTTGCCATAGAGCTGGCCTCTATGAAACATGTATCAGTGTATTGAGACACGTCGAAACGCGTCTGGTTGAGCAACACATAGCCCTGTTATTTGTTCTAGTATTTACCTGTTTCAACATACACATTGTTCTCTGAACAGTATAAATACGGTACTGTAGTTGAGTGGAATATACTGTTTTTCCCCTCCATTTTACTACACAGGTTATGCAGATTATGTCGAGGGGCTGTCGAAGATGAAGTGCACGCTTTGTTTGACTGCGCCGCCGAAATTCAACGTCTCGAAGAGCTCCGGTCTCATTTCATGGACACCCTTTCTGTCTGTGACCCTCAGCT